CTTTCTATAAGTCTCCCAACTCTTTCTGTTGTTATTATGCTTACTGAGAGAATCAGTTAAAATGGATTTGATCATTTGAAGACAGTCTGTCATCTCTATTGATTTCTGATGTTACAAAATATTGTACCAGTTTAAATGAGACTATATCCATGATTGGTAATTTATAAAATCCAAATATTGTTGTAATCTTAATAATATTTAATTGGGCAACATTTTGACCTACAACACACTAATGAAATTCAGATGTTGTTATAATTGTAGTAATATTTAACTGAGTAACATTTGGATAAATAAGACATTACTTGACCTGCTATAGCATATATAAATCTTGATGCATGATGAGACATACATCAGTTGTGAGTAATATGTTAAAGATCAGTCAGCAAAACAAAAACAAAACAAAACAAAAAACTTAGGAAATTCTTGAAATGTTAAGATATTGATATTGGCAGTAGAACAAACTTGTTTGGACAAAAAAAACCCTAGCTTAATCTAGTTAATTAACAACAAAACAGCTGGGAAAATTAAACATCCCTAGTTGTGATTGACTGTAATTGAAAATGACTAATGATGCTGTAATTTTGCAAATTATATCTGAGGAAATAATGCCTGGAAGATTATACTTGCCCTCTTGAAAATTTGTCTACAGCAATTACTTTGTGTTTAAGGTTGAGTTGAAACCCTTTGACCAAATATATAAGACTCCTCATATCTTATTTTTACTATTATATTTTAAAATAATTCAAGATGAGGAAATAAAATATAAAGTTGATGTAAGCAAGATTTCTTTTGATAATATAAAAACTTTACAATTCAAACTATCTGGCTTTATCTTATCATTTCAGTAAGTGATATTAAATTCCATTAATATTCTCAGTTCTGATATATGAAAGATGACATAAGCATTTCAAAATCAATATATATGTAAACATTTTAACAGAGAATTAAAAATGAGTAGGAATGGAAGAAAATGGCATTTAAATGCTAAAGTACTAGAGAGTTAAAAAACAATTTAAAAAAAAACAAAGAACAAATGGTTTATTCCTTCTGTAGTTGTTATTATTGTCACTAATAACAGTCATTTTCTTGCTTTTTAACTGCTAAATGGGATACTACTGAGGACCTAGTTATTAATCTGTGGAAAATGGAACATATTCAAATTGATCCCATTGATGACATAAATATAAAACATTATTACAAAAGATATAACTTTAGAAAAATTTTAAACAATTTACCTAACTTACACAGTCATCTTCAACAACTTCTGAAGTTAAGATAAAGGAGTAATATACAAATATAGTGAATAAAAGTGTGTATGTGTGTGTGTGTGTGTGTGTGTGTGTGTGTGTGTGTGTGTGTGTACCCAGTGGTGAAGTGGAGGGGAAAGAGAGAGAAGAAAAGCAAAATAATGATGCTTATTTCTTCAATCATGCGATTCTAAGATTATCCCAGTAATTTTATATCAGAGATATAGTGCTAGATTGATGTCATTCATAGAACTGTCTCATAATATATTTTTGACGTTTAGAGGACATCCTCAAAGACAATAAGGAAGAAGTTGGTTAGTCAGGCGTGAAAAATAAGAAACCAAAAATTGACCATCTTTTAAAGTTAAGAAAATCCTACAGAAATTGATGAAGCAAAGAGGAAAAAAGGAAAGAAACTGAATAGGGGTGACCCGCTCTCTCAATCAGACTCAGCTTAGCAGAATTTAGCAGCTAAACAGACAGGCTGTTTGATACTGAATGTGGAGGTGCCAATAGGTAGTCAATTTCCTATGAAAGAGAAGCATTCTCTGACGTGTCCTTAATTAGAAAGTCAGCAAGCAGTGGACATACTAATTATCCATTTAAATACTGGGTCTTGAATGCACATCAGGAGGGATTTTCATTTTCTTTTTTAAGAATATCACTTTCTTGCTCATAATTGTCATAGTTTCTAAATGTACCTTCCCCCAAAATGTACAGCAAGCTTCTCAGACCCATTTCCCTTATATTGAAGGATGAGGCAGATCAGCATTAAGGAGAAGAGGTATTAGAAATGGCATATTTTATACAAAGTATGTTGCCACCAATTCATGTCTTCATACATGCACTTTGGATGATGATGTCGATCACATTCCATTCTCCTTGCTAACCCCCTGCCACTTCCCTTTCCCTCCTACCCCTCTACTCTGCTGTCATTTATTTTTTTAAAAAAAAAATCAATAAAAAATAAAAAAGAAATAGCATATTTTAGCAGTGCACACTCCTGTAATCTCAGCAGCTTGGGAGACTGAGACAGGAGTATCATGAGTTCAAAGCCAGCCTCAGTAATGGCAATGTGCTGAGCAATTCAGTGAGACCCTGTTTCTAAATAAAATACAAAATAGGGCTGGGGATGTGGCTCAGTGAGTGGTTGAGAGCCCCTGAGTTCAATCACCAGTACCAAATAAAAAAAGAAAGAAACAGCATATTTTAAAAATTTTGATATATGAATTCAACGTTAAAAAAGGCTTTGTTCATATACCATCAGAGCAAGGGTTCAAGCTTCAGAAAAATTATCTGTAACCTTTAAAAGAGAAAGTTTTGATTCATGTGAAGATTTAAACAGCCTTCACAGCTTTCAGCCTTATGCTGTTGAGTGCCACTCTGAACTGTGAGTTTTTTTTTTTTTTTTTTTTTTGAGCCTTTAGCATTTCAGGCTAGCACAAACCCCAGCTAATATTAAGGTGTTTCTAAGATCATGGTCCATATCAAAAGTTGTGGGGATGAGGGTGTAGCTCAGTGGTACAGCACTTGTCTAGCATGCAAGAGGCCCTGGATTCTGTACCCAGCACTACAAAATAACGATGATGATGATAATGATGATGATGTTGTTGTTAGTAAACTATTTCTCCAAACTCCATATCTCCAAATCAGTTTTCTCTTTTTGCCCCTATCACCTTGATATGTTGACTTGTCTCCAAACTCAAGAGAAAAGTGAGACAACAGGAATGAGTTTTCACTTAAGTCCTATTTCTCCCAAATGAGCTGAGTCTAAATGAAACAGGGAAGCAGGAAAAGAGAAAACAGGGAAAGAAAACTGACTGTTACAAAATGGTTTTAAGGGATGTGAAAGAAAAAGGAAGTTATACTTCCTTGTTCTTTCTTTTTTAGAAAGGTAATTCTCCTTTTATATCACTAATGCAACAGTAAAAAGTAGATAAGCTCAGGTATGCCAGATCTTAGTTCTGAGGTCAAAGTGCGTGCACCAGGAGTTGGGGGAGGGGATTGTGTGTGATTAAGTTAACATCAACTGCTTGGATTGTTTTATCTATAATAATTAGAGCAAAAATTGTCTAGACTCTCAGTTACAAAGCAAAGTGAATTAAATGCAAATTAGTAATCTGTAATAATTGGTGCTAAATTCTGGCTCATTGTCATAACTATATGGCATTAAGTTTTTGAAGATCAACCAAGAGTAGATAGAATGAATCTACACAGCAGTTCATTTGTCCATGTTATGACTGGCTATAGTGAGAATCAGTCTGGTAACTGCTCTAGGGATTGGCTTTCCTTAAAGTATAAATAAAAATCCTGGGGATTAGATATACAGCTCAGTGGTAGAATACTTTGCTAGCATGCACAAAGCCCTGGGATTTAATCCCCAGCACCACACACACACCCCCCCCACACACACAAAAAAAAAACCCTAAAAACTGAAAAGAAACCCTGAAATTTGCTGCTTTCAGTACTGTCTCTAGCTCTCCAATATAAACACATTGTCTTTTTATGAAAAATGATCATGATGAGCTTGGAATTGGAATTAAATTATTTTTTTTCTGGATTTTTAGGACTGAAGACAAATGTATTCTCAAATAAAGGTACATTGAAATCTACAGAGAAACCCACGCCTTTTAGCATCTAGTATTTGGATATTATTTATAGCCCCAAACTTTAAATTTATCTAAAGAATAGTCCCTTGTAAGCTATAGGAAAAACAAACAATTTTCTAGAAATGAAACTTGGGCCAAGCACAAGGGAAACTAAGTGGTGACCTTAGAGACAGAGTCTAAGTCATGGTAATGTTGTTTGCAAGGACAAACTGGTTCTGTATAATGAGGTTATTGACCTGCACTGTTTTTAGTTTTAGTGCAGTTTTAAACATAAGGGAGAGGCTCACTAAATCTCAGCCTGCAACATTAGCTGAGAAACCAAGACTGATCAATAAACAGCCACCATTACAGGCTCTCGAGGAACCTTCATCATAATGGCAGCCATTATAATTTTGGTCAGGTGCAGCAAATAAGGTAACCTATACCTAATGTCTATTTATCACTGGACTCTCATTTGCAAATGGAAGACATTGATTAGCTGTTTTTTTGAAAACCGACCTGTCTTTCCATTTTTCTCCTCATGTAATAGCCTGTGAATAAATGTGCCCTAGACTTCAAAATGCACAAAGAGAAGGGAAAGAAGGAGAAAGCTTTCACCCAGACCAGCTTTTTAGTGAAGAAAGAAGCAATTACATGACATTTCACTAAAAATTCTTGACCCAATAAAGTACTGAAGCCCGAATGCTGGTTTTCCTTTTTCATAAGAAAGAGCAACAGAGAAAGGAAAGGTCACAGACCATATTGTGATTCTTTACAGCTGTTGGAGACAGACAGTATGATGCAGTAGCTTGATTTGAATTAAGCCAAACAATATGAAAAGCATCAAGGCTGGCAAGCAAAGCAATAAAGCCCCAAAGAATTTAATCTACCTTGAAGGTGGGACTACTTTTTGTGTTGATGGCAGCACACCAGGACAGAAATGAATCCTTTAATGCAATGACTCGTTAATAGCCTTAAGATCACAATATATAAATAGGCTTCGTTGAACAAAAAGACAGCTTTGCTTCTGCTATGGTAGTATGGCCAATATTTCCTTACAAGTTATTTCATTGATTATAAATAGACCACATCAATGGCAAATGTACAACAGGGGAAGCATAACCCATTATGAGGTAATGGATATTGCTAAAGGTTGCTTCATTACCTTCACTGGCTGAGTGGCTGGTTTTTCCTTGTACAAATGCTGCCCTTTAGACAAAATCCTCTCCACATCCGGTTGTTTAGCTTGAACTGCTACTTCAGTTTCCTGGGGAAAAGAACCCATACAGTGCAGATTAACTTCACAGTTAGCAATAAAATTACTAAATTTAAATATACCCTTGGAGACTCCACATGTATTGCAGATCAATTTCTGCATGGTACATAGGGGCTCAAAAAACATACCTTTTGGTGCAGAGAAAAGAAAAATAGAGGTCTCTGTGGAACACACTAAAGGTAAAACAATTGATCTAAAATCTTCTTGAATTGTGTAATAATGCCATAACTTTATTATATAGAAACACAGAGACTTTCTATTTTTCAAAAAAGTAGATTTAGACAATAATTTGAGGTACAGTTTATAATATGTGCATATAAATTCTGGTGCTAGCTTCAATAATCTCAATCACCCTGATGCTTATTTTACTTTACAAACTTTTTATTTCACTAGACTCTGTGCTGGGATTTGGATCTACGATTTTTTTGAGATGTAAATCAAATAATTCTATCTACAACACTGTCGAAATTAAGTTTCTTTCCAAAGAGTAAACACTTAAAGCACAGTATCAAAGCTTATTATTTATCAAGCAGTCAAATTAAATAGGCCTTTGAGGAATGATTAAATTAATTGTTTTATTGTTTGTTTTTCCTTAGTCCAGAGAAGACTGAAGCATGACAGAAAAAAAACAATCCCTTTAGATATATGAATATAAAGTGTTTTCTTAGTGACTACTGTCTAGCTCTCTTGAAGAAGGAACAAAAGAAATGTGCATAAATTGAAGCTGAAGGAAGTGAAGTTAAATATTACAGAAGACTTTTTGGATGGAACACTTGTTAAACACTAGGATAGAGTATCGATTAATCAATGTCAGGCATCAGTCAGGGCCTGGGCAATCTTCCCTAGAGAGGGGCTCCTGATTAACCCGCATCTCTCTTCTTCCCTCTTCTTCCCTGGAGCCTCTCAGCACTGCTGTGTGTACGTGTCTTCATGTCATTGTTTCCTTTATATACTGTGTTTGTACCTATTCTATTCTCTCTTTGTCTGTGAGGGCAGGAAACCCTGATCCACACTACTATATTCTTACATAGCACAGTGGGGTATCTTGCAACTTATGGGTGCTCAGCACATACTCTTAAGGGAGACTATTTCTCCAGTTCTTATTATAATGACTACTAGTGGGAGACGGTGCTATAGTCAAAAGTGTCTGTAACTTCAAGGCTAACTCTATGTATTAATAGGTATGTGTGCAAATCTCAGTTCCTTTACAATAGGAGCCTAGCTACTTCACTCTTCCAGAACGGCTGATTAATGGTCTTACCACCCATTGCAAGAAAAGGTATTGTTCCTTCAAAGTGCAGTACCCAGAATGACTATAACTCTTTGCTAGAGGTAGAAATAGCTGTGATCTCAGATCAGAGATGGGACACATCTAGTTTTAAACACTGAATTTTTAATATATCCCCAGCCACTATAAATTCACCTTTAAATGCTCTATTCACAAAACATTTTGGTATAGTGATTGCTTACATGATCTCAAAATAGTATGAGGGAAAAATAAAGTATATTACTCTAAAGAAGCAGAGAAAAGAGTATATCTTTAGCAAGGTAAAAATGATTTAAGAAAAGGTAAAAAAGTAATCACTTATTTTTACCTGCACAGGTATGCTATGCATATATAATCATGAATTGCCAAGATGAATTCATGTATGATATTTAAATTATACTGAAAGTCAAATATGCATTATGCATCTAAACTGAGTAAACTTGAACCGGTGTCACTTCCATTCATTTTGCATGTTTATTCAAAATAAAGTGCAGTTTTCTATTTTTTCCTGACTACCAGAGACTTTTCTTCTGATAGGCATTGATTTTGATAATTACTGATAATAGACAGAGGTTTCAGATTAGCTTCATAACAGCCATAGATTATTTAGTGATGAAAATATAGCTACCTTTTGTATAATGACTACTATTTACTTCTCCCAAACATTTATTATAACATATTCACACTTTGCAAATTAGAAAGAAAGTTAGAATGGGAAGGGTAGTAGTGATGGTAATGATGATATGAATAACTTGCCTAATATCCCATGAGAAGTAGGAGAGTTAATATTCAAACATAGTTCTGCTTGAATCCAAAGCTCATGCTGTTTCTACTAGTATTAGCTACCTTTCCATGCTTTACAAAAACATATATAATCTGATTTATTCTAATTAATGTCATTTCTAAGCATTAAGCAATTTTGCTTTCATCATCTGAATCTATTTCACATTATGACATATGCTGATAAAATGTCATACCTCTCTGATAATAAAGAATAATTTAACTTGTTCCTATAAAGTTATCTGTATTGTGGCGTGTGGATTGGGATTTCAGATAAATGCTATGGTTAGACCATCTGAGATGAGTCATTATGGGCCAGTAGGAAGATGGTTACTTGAAGCAAGAGTAGTTACTCCCACCCATTGGGTTTTTATTTTATTTTATTTTTGCTACCAAGGATTAAACCCAGAACTACTTAGACACTGGACCAAATCCCCACTCTTTTACTTTTTTTTTTTTTTTTTTTTTAATTTTGAGACAGGGTCTCACTAAGTTGCTTAGGGCCTTGCTAAATTGCTGAAGCCAGCTTTGAACTTGCAATCCTCTAGCCTCAGCCTCCTGAGAAGCTAGGATTACAGGTGGGAACGAACATGCTCAGCAAGAATTTTTGAAAATGACACCAAAGATCATTGTTTCCACCGCCACACTGTAGCCTCATTTGTGCTGTTCTAATTTTTTTTTCTTTATAATACACCAGAAGTAGTCAAATTGTGTATATAATTTGACCATCCCTATAGAATTATCATTTGTGAGATCAAGACACATATTTACCTTGTTCATTCATTATATCTTTGGCAGTTCTTGTGACATATTAGATGCTAAAGAAAAAAAAATGTTGAATGGCAAATAAATATTGTTGCACTTTAAGCCTGAGGGATTTTAGTTAGGCTGTGTATTAATAGAGACCTTTGCTCATTCAGACAGTTGAGCATGTTTTCATAGCACAGATTATTTCCCCTCTAAGTAATTTGCTAGAGTTAAATACAGAATCTCCTCTTCTATTTCGAGATTTCCCTTAATTAGTGTAAAAATTTTACATCTTTGTGTTATTCATTACAGATTTAGAAAACCCATTCCTATGATAGATTAAAATGGAGTTATTTTATAGTGAACTAATCTTTTGTTGACTTTCTTTTAACTAAAATTTAATTTCTTTGGTATTTTCCTTCTTTGTCAAAATATTTACATAATTTAATCTTCATCTAGGGAACCAAGGGAAGATGACAAATACAAACGTTGTAGCAAACAAGTGAATATTTTACATAAGACACCTGAATGTAGGATCTCAAATCAAACATTTTGTAATTACTGCACTTGAAGTATAATAAATAATTCTTAATTTTGATTTGAAGTTTCACTGGAAAAGTGAACCTAGAGGGGATAGAGGACTGGGATTCCTATAAAAACTATTAACTCCCATGAGTTTTAAAACCTGCAATGCCTTAGCATGGAAAGTCTTAGGCTTCCTTCCAGACATGCCCATTTCTAATTTCTTTTGCTCATTCAGCATAGTATGACAATGTTCTCCTCAGATTCCCTTAAATTTCTACCCCCAAATACAGATAATTAATGTTTGTTATATTTGACACAACTTTATGTTTTATAGTATTTATACAGTACAACCTATTTTGATGGACAACAAGCTTCTTGTATTAATCCCACTTTTAGTAAAATGGTTTTCTTAAAACAGTATCATTGGAAGATACGTACTGCAGCATCTAATCAAAATATTTATCAAATAATTTTGAGTTTCTACATATGTTACACACTGGGATACAATACTAGAGAAATTTCTAGTCCTCACACACATGCAGATATGTGTATGACCCATGTATTCACATATGTATGTATATTTTATACAATGTATAACAGCACATAGTCCATTTATACACATGATATGTATGTACTATATATATCCAAATGTGTTAATGAATGTAGATGTATGTGTGTGTGTACACACACACACACACACACACACATGCTACGAGGAAAGATAAGATAATAAGAAAAGAGTGATGATGCTCTATTTTAGGTATGATGAATAAAGAATGTGACTACTCTCAGGAGGAAATTAAATGAAGAGCAGAGATGGGCAATGTCTTACTGGAAAAAAATATCCCAAGAAGAGGGAAGAACAAGTGTAAAGGTGCTGAGGTGCTGAGGAGTCCAGTTTGTATAAAGATTCAAAATAGTACAATATTCTGCTAACTTACATAGGGTATTTTAGACATAGAAGACAGAGAAAAGCTCTTTCTATAATTGATTATATATACCAAGTTTATAATATTTGTTTAAAACCAACCTAACTTTACTTTTTAAGATGATAACTCTAGTGGCAGATTGGAGGGAGGATAAGAGACTGGTGGATGGAGAATAGTTAGGGAAGCATTTTAGAAGTTCAAGTAACTGTTGAAAAAATAGGAGGAGCATGGATATTCAGGGAAGATCACTCTTAAGATGATGTTGTGTCTGTGGAGGATTGGCAGAATTTGATAAGGGAAAAGAAAATGTTGAGAGTCACTGAGATTTTAAAGATTGGGAGAAAGAGACTAGGGGTATAATATGGATACATGAGCCTGTATATGGAAACACATTAATGTGCTAAGGTTGGGCACATAAGTCAAGGTGCCTGTGAATAGCATGATACAGATGTCCAGTGAGCAGCTGGAAACTATGGCTGACATTAGGGTAGCCCAAATAATACTTAGAGCTCCAAGTTTTAAGCAGGTGCTTAGTAGATTGACTGAGGAAAAGATGGTATGCCAAATGAATTGCCCAGGGTTTGCACCTACAGGGTGTACAATACAGTTGGTTCTCTGTATCCTTACGTTCTTCTGTGTTCATGAATTCAACCAACCGGGGATCAAAAATATTTTTAAAAATGCATCTGTACCATACATGTACAGATGGTTTTCTTGTCATCTTTCCTAAGCAATACAGTACA